TTTCAGCTGCTTCATCACATGCCATTTGTGGTCTTTTTACACCAATTTCAGAACTGCACACACAGGATTGTGGGGTATCTTAGTTAGCGAAAAACATCTACTGTATGCTGCCTTAATAAACTGACCTCAGTAGACAATTGTTAGGCGAATATTGTATTTGGTTGTGTCTTGGTGTCTTCCTACCTCCGTATCCTGCAAAAACAGTGTTTTTTATTTTTCAGATGTATATCACAATATATATTAATTTCAGAAGATGGGAACACATTGTGCTCAGTATATGGAAGCATTTCATTTATGGTATTAGTAGTAGGGGTTGGGATCTGTTCATGGCATGTATATATAATCTCTTCCATATTAATTCCTAGTAACAAAGGAGAAGTGAGATGGAGATGTGGTCTCATGATTCGTCCATGCACAGGACATTAGCGCCATTAGTTTTCTTCTGGAAAAAGTACATGCGAAACTGTCCTCACCTGACCTGGTTGTCCTTAAACACAGTGTTTTATAAAGCAGACAAATGGAATCTGCCGAGGGTTTTTATCCATCCAGGAACAAAAGCATAGATAATTGGCTTTAGTATGACGAGGAGGAAATGAAGCATTGCAATGAGTATGTCTCGCGCCTGCTGTGCAGTCATGGTTCCATTTGAGGACGTACTGTCTCAGGTGAGAAAAGCTTTACAGGTCAGCCCTAGCCTACTGCACGAGCTTCTCAGAGAGCTACACGAGGCCAATGTCTTCTCCACCCAGTATTACCAGTCTCTCTACAAGGATGGTGAAGATGGAGAGCAGCATTTGCGTGACGTTTTTTATAATGATCCAGAAGATCTGGCCAGAAGACTCTCTTTGCCTATCTGGCAAAACTGGGACATCAGTCAAGGCATCCTGGATTCAGTACTCTCCAAAGAGGAGGATATGGTTCCTTCTTGTAAGTTAAATAGTCCTCTTTAAATATTTTTATTTACACTTTCTCTGTCTACTCAATGTGTATTTTTAATATTTTGCACTACACTGTTTAAAAATAAAGGTTCTTTATTGGCATTTATTGTTCTGTGAAGAACCTTAGTCAATTCATGGAAGCTTTCCATTCAACAACATTTTCTTTATAGTGGAAAAAGGTTCTTTAGGTTGTTAAAATGTTCTTCACTCAAGGAAAAATTTTCTTTTAAGAACTGTTCACTAAAAGGTTCTTTTGCTGCTAAAACCCACCTTTGGAAACTTTTTTAAAAATTAGAGGATCACTTTCATAAGTTGGCCATAGAATGAATAAGTAATAATAATTTTAAAAAAGTGGTTAAGTGACAATGTAGAACAGTGCTGCGTTACTGAGAAATACATGAACATTTAGCTTTTCAAATAACAATGAGCATATATATATATATATATTTACATACATACACACACACACACTGGTCGAATTGTAAACAATTTCGGGGGGATGGTGTGGTCAATTTATTTGGTGGGGCAGGCGGGGTCCTGTAGCTAATTTTACACAATGATTTGAAATTTGTCTAATTTTTAAACAGATCGTTATTTAATGAAAAAGCTTTATTAAACGAACTATTATTTATAGGCTGTTTTCCTTCTGGGGCCTGAAATGGAGGAATTTTGGTCAATACTGATAAACAATATTTTGCTGAAAGTGTTTGTGCTGGCACCTTGGCTGGTTTAGGCTTGGAATGGATAAATAAATATGACAAAACTGTCAGTAGGTTAGACGCACACTAGAGGCGGTTTAGCCAATCACAACACACTGGGCTAGCTAACCAATCAGAGCCCATCGCCTATTTCTGAGGGTGGGGCTTCATAAAAGCAGGAAATGATCAGTGCGTTTCTCAGAGAAGGGACAGAGTGGTGTGGAATAAAGGTAAATGATTTGAAAAATGTGTTTTTTTTAAAACGAAGCATTAACACATGTTAGACTGCACCCCATAAACACAATCAAGCCTAGAAAAAAAACAGTGAACAACCCCGTTAAAGTAAAAAGGTGTTTCAACAAAATACTGACACAAGGTGGTGATCCTTTTTCCAACTCAGTGATTCTGTTTGTTGTTTTTTCCTGACATGTTGGTGTTATATCTTTCACTTGGATGTTATAAGTTGCACTGAGTAAATACAGCTGTATAAAACAAAAACTTTAATCTTCCGTTTCCATTTTCATTTCATGCTGCAAAGCAACGAAATGTGATCATTTTAAAGAGGGGTGATTTTTTTCTATACCCACTGTAGATGAGTTTGTTTCTTCATGGGAAGAAATTACATCATTTGACAATAATTACATCATTTGCTCACCAATGGATCCTCTACAGTGAATGGGTGCCGTCAGAATGAGAGTCCAAACAGCTGATAATAAACAATAATCCACACATCTCCAGTCCATCAATGAACTTTTCAATGAAATTGAAAGGGCATTTAACTTTAAACCGTCACTTTTGGCCAAAATACCAGTCCATAAAAATCCTTGAGTTCCTCCTTTTGTCCTCTCACATCAAAATTACCCTACATATTTGTTTAGGACTGTTTTGAACTGTTGTAACTTGTAAACAGTGCTTGAGCTGTGCATATTTCTCTCCTGATTCAGATGAGACGACTTTTTCAATGGAGAGGCAATAATGTTATGGATAGAGGACTCATATTTTAGCCAGTTGCAATGTTTGTTAGTTAAAAACATCTTGATGGATTTGCTTATTAAGAACACACAGCTATTCGCTTCATTTAGGTGAACTATTCCTTTAACCCTTTGCACAAAGAATGACATCACTGCAGTAGCAGCGCAACAAGAGGGTGTGAATTAACGTTTAAAATAACGCTGCAGCATACGAGGCCAGCTGTGAAACTGTCAACTATACGTGTAAATACTGTCCACATTTACTTTACATGCTTAATATTGCTATGTGTTGCAGCTCTCACCTCACAAGGCAGTAGTAACACTGCCTGACAGGATGCACCTGTAATTAGTTCTCTCACAGATACTAGAGTCACTTTCTAAGCTCTGTTTTTTCTTCTTTTTTTTCTTCCATGGGGGCTGTTGATCAAAAAGACAAAAAAAAAAAAAAAAAAAAAAAACGATTAAAAAAAAAAAAAAAAAAACAACAAAA